TCTGAAGCAGCCTGTTTAGGGAAGCTTTTAATGTTGATGTATCACAGTATTTTAATATATGGTTGGAAGCCGCCCAGAGTGGCTGGGGAGGCCCAGCCAGATGGCGGGTATAATAATAAATTATTATTATTATTATTATTATTATTATTATTATTATAATAGGATGCTTTCAGAGAAATGTCGGAGGGTATGCACTCCCAGGCTCGTTGCTGGTGGTGGACTTTCTGCACACATGCCACCTTCTGCCCAAAGGAGCAGCCACTGCTCTCCTCTGCTCTCTCCCCTGATGTACCATCATCCCCAGGAATCTGGATGCTTCCTCGTTCTTTGGTGCACCTGGTGAATCGGGACCCAGGGATCGGTTGGCTTCTTTGGGAAGCCAGCCAAGACTCACCTGCTATTGTCTGCTGGGCCTCCGGCTCTGCTGGTTCACTTGCTCGTAAGCCACTGGAGCGTCAGATTGGTGGAAGCGCAAGCGGTAGAGCAGCCGTACCCACTGCCCAAAGACATGCTCTTGTTTGAGGGGGTGTGCCATAAGTTGCAGGTAAAAGGTGCGGCCGTTGGCCAGGCGGATTTTGAGCTGGTATCGCGTCTCGTCGTGGATGTAGATCCGGACAAACTTCAAGGGCAGAAGCCTGGCGGAGGAGAAAGAAGTGTGCTCATCGGGAGAAGGTAGTAAAGGGTAAAAGTAAAGGACACCTGGACAGTTAAGTCCAGTCAAAGGCGACTATGGGGTTGCAGCGCTCATCTCGCTTTCAGGCCGAGGGAGCCGGCGTTTGTCCACAGACAGCTTTCTGGGTCATGTGGCCAGCAGGACTAAACCGCTTCTGGTGCACGGAGGACCATGACAAGTGCCAGAGTGCACGGAAATGTTGTTTACCTTCCTGCCACAGTGGTACCTATTTATCTATTTGCACTGGCGTGCTTTCAAACTGCTAAGTTGGCAGGAACTGGGACAGAGCAACAGGAGCTCACCCCATCGTGGGGTTTCGAACTGCCGGCCTTCTAATCGGCAAGCCTGTTATGTACCGAGTTGAATAGGATCCAAAATGCAGCAGTCTGATTGGTTCTAGAACAATAGGATTCAGAATGCAGCAGTCTGATTGGTCCTAGAACAATGCAGCAGTATGATTGGTCCGCAGGAGCCACCCAATCCAGCTCCAGGTGGAAGTGAATCCACAACCTGATTGGCCTACAGGAGAATCCCAGAATTAGCCAATCACGTGCAGCCCATTGTGTAAATAATGTATATAAAGCAGATATTGTGGGGGAACTTCCATTCCTCCTCACCACTATGAGCTGAATAAAAAGCATGAAATCCACTCTCGACTCTGAGTATATTTAAAAGCCCAAGAGGCTCAGTGGTTTATACCACGGCGCTACCGCGTCCCTACAGGAGAAGGTAGGGTGAGACACTGCTCCCCAAGACCCTCCTATGGCACAAAAGGGCTACTCTCTCTCATCAGAGCGGCAGCTCCGGATATCAGGCCGTGGTCACCGGTTGCCATTCCACCTGGGTGCTCCCTGCTGCACTGTAGTCTCAGCTCAAAGTGCTGGTGGGGATCAGCCTGAAAACCCTCAAGCCGCTTAGGCTTACCCTAGTCTTTTTTGGTTAACAATTTTTATTTGCTTTTAAACAAACACAATAGCCATTAAATACTTACCTAGCAGTGCCCTTGAGACTGACCCAGAAACTCCAGCGGGTGCAGAATGCCGCGGTGAGACTCCTTACGGGGTCTTCGCCGTGGGATCACATTCACCCGGTGCTATACCAGTTGCACTAGCTCCCGGTGGAGCAGGAGCAGGTTTAAGGTGCTGATTTTAACCTTTAAAGCCCTATACGGCCTAGGACCCTCATACCTACGGGACCGCCTCTCCTGGTATGTCCCATGGAAGAGCTTACGATCTTCAAACAAAAACATCTTGGAGGTCCCGGGCCACACAGAGGTTAGGCTGGCCTCAACCAGAGCCAGGGTTTTTTGGGCTGTGGCCCCGATCTGGTGGAACGCTCTGTCACAAGAGACTAGGGCCCTGCGGGACTTGACATCTTTCCGCAGGGCCTGCAAGACAGAGCTGTTCCACCAGGCCCTTTCCTCATAGATCTCTAGCCCAATGGTTGCCATTAATTTGATTTTGAATTGATTTTAGAATGAATTGATTTTAGAATTCTGTGTTACTTTTATTGTTGTTTAGCCGCTCTGAGCCCAGCTTTGGCTGGGGAGGGTGGGATATAAATAATAATTATTATTATTATTATTATTATTACATCTAAGGGTGCTTGTTGTATCCATTGTCTTTAGACATACACTTACACATTCAACATTCAAATGTAACCTCTCCACTGAGAGTCTTGAGTGGTTGGTATAACAAGGTCTTGATTTGGGTTATTAACGTAGTTAAGGAAAGGGGCCCCTGTGTCTTGGAAGGTGTCTCTATTCGTGATGCCTTTAACTGCCCTCCTGTGTCTGGTAAGACACTTGGGCATCGCTATATCCCAGATATTATTCTCCCGTATATTCAGGGGTATTTCAGTCTGGATCTTCCGTCGCTCAGCTATTGCTTATGGTGCTGTGGTCAGTAAGAAGCCTAGTACAGTTGTGCCTTGGTTTTTGAACAGCTTAGTTCTCAACATTTTGGCTCCTGAACGCTGCAAACCTGGAACTGACTGTTCCGGTTTGTGAACTATTTTTGGAAGCTGAACGTCTGATGGGGCTTCGACGACCTGATTGGCTGCAAGTCAGAAGCCGCGCTTTGGTTTCCAAACCTTTTGGAAGTCAAACGAACTTCCGGAATGTATTCCATTTGACTTCCAAGGTATGATTGCAGTTCTCTGTGGTGCAGGGTGGAGTTTAGGTCTATGTCCAAAGATAGCAAGGCTAAGGCAGGATTTGGAGAAAATACAAGCTGGTCAAGCAGATGAAAATTGTTAAGAGACTGTCTTTATCCATAGGGCCTTCTGAGAAGGCCCAGAAATCTCATCTTGCTTTGCCACCTGTACCCCAAGTCCTCTGAAGCTGCTATGTACCATTGATCCATCTACCTCAGTCGTGAGGAACCTCCGGTCTGCAGGGTTTTTTAGATTCTATGTCTGGGTAGCCAATAAGGTTCCCTCTGGCCCAATTAACTTCATTTACAGTGGTGCCCCGCAAGACGAATGCCTCGCAAGACGAAAAACTCGCTAGACGAAAGGGTTTTCCGTTTTTTGAGTCGTTCCGCAAGATGAATTTCCCTATGGGCTTGCTTCGCAAGACGAAACGTCTTGCGAGTTCTTGCGAGTTCCCTTTTTCTTAAAGCCGCTAAGCCGCTAATAGCCGCTAAGCCGTTAATAGCCGCTAAGCCGCTAATAGCCGTGCTTCGCAAGACGAAAAAACCGCAAGACGAAGAGACTCGCGGAACGGATTAATTTCGTCTTGCGAGGCACCACTGTATGTTTTGTCTATGCCACTTTTCACCAGCGCGAGTTAACAAAGCAGCTTACAAACAACAAATAACAATGACATAATGGAAGATCACGATCACAACATAAATTGTATAAAAAAATTAGCAAACCACCAGTGGAACAATTGCAAACCATCAGTAAAACAACCACCTTCTATAATACATTATTAAGAAAACACCCCTCCCACAGGTTCCCCATTCATGGTAAGCGGGTAAGATTACACAATCTGGAAGCAGAACTTCCAGGCAGCCTCGAGATTCCAGACTTTCTCCTACACCATGATTTAAGGCGGCAACCCTGGGAACACAGCCTTGAAAGCAGAACACACTGCCTTAAAAGCAAGACCCACTGGAACCTTTGGGACTTACCTCCGAGTTGTAGGGATGCTCCAGGACTGGGTGGTAAGTGCTGAGAAAGGACTTACCCAAAGAGCTGCAGCTCATCGTCGGGGCCTGGCGATGCTTCAGGATTGGGACACTCGCACTGGTACTGCCCTGTTAAGCAGAGCCGGGTCGGGCCAGCAACATGAGATCTGGCAGCTCCAGGCTTGGGCTGGTGGCA